ATATATATATATATATATATATATATATATATATATATATATATATATATATATATATATATATATATATATATATATTATATATAGCATATTTATATGCGCAATTGCTCACTTTTTTTGCTAGCCTAAATTAAGTGAGCATTTTTAGAAAACGATGAGGGAAAATGAAGAATAATGAATGAAAATGTTGCTGACCCATACCAAACCCTCAGTTGATGTAGCAGCACTCCACAGCGAGTCAGGCTATTTGTCAGTCGATGTATGTACTGAAGCCCCCGGCCGGTTTTCTATTATTTGTATATTTTTTTCAAACATTTAAATTAATTAAATATTTCGCAAAATCATAAATATCTGCGACGGAAACTTGTTACAAGTTTTGCCTCGTTTTCACAATGTTTTATAAAAGCTTATTGGCTAATGCCACGTAGAAACGAGGTTTTGTAAAAAGTTTCCGTCGCAGATGTTTATGAAAAGTTTTATAAAATTTTAGTTCAAATCTAGAAAATCCAATTTCTAGTTTTAAACTCGATTGTTAACAAAAAGGTCTTCAAAATTGTTGGTGTTTAAAATTAGCTTGGGTCAGGGTCTTTTCAGTTTATACAGGAACTTGAACGCTTTTATAGACTTTACACTGAAAGTTAAACCAAGTTTGATGCTGGAATAACGTTTTTGAATGTCTTTTCATAAAATAGTATATTGAACTCAAATTTATGTGTGCTAATCATCGAGAGTCATAGAAAAATTCATATATTATATTTATTTATTGTATTCAATATATGTATTATACTTGCATTATACAAGATTGTTAAATTACTCTGACAAAAGTATACAATATTCAGACTTTTTCACATTTCGCTTGTTTTCGGCTCTACTTTGGTTTTTAGCCAAAATGAAGTTATGTCTCTTCACCCGTCCATAAACCTTTTTAGAAGCTTCAGATGTAAGTTTTACAGCTTTTTCCACCGATTGAGAATTGTTTGGCAAGTCAGTTATAGAAAGTTTATTTCCGGTTTGAATAGCTTGTTTTAATTCATTTGAAGAAACAAAAATTGTAGTGGGAGATTCAATTTGTATTGAAGAAACTTCAATTAAGTCGGTCCAAACATCAGCATTGAAGTTCAAGGTCATAATTGTCTTAGCTTGGATTTTAGGCTTAAAGTCTGGATTAGTTTCCCTAGATAACCTAATCTCCATAATTTTATTGAGAGCACGATCTCGTACAACTTTTTCATCGTCTAATAGCATAGCGTAAAGAAAGTTTTCTTGACAGCAGCAATAGGAGTTACCCTGAAGATTTTTCAATACAATCTTTTTAATTCTGTCATCCTGTTTTTTGACTAACTGTATTGTTTTATGGAGAAGCCTTGGTGCAGCAAACCACATTGGACAGTAGACTTGGACTATGTACTTTGTGATGCAGTTTAGATCATGTGTAGGTATCTCAGTTCTTGCATAAACCATCATAATTCTTAAAGCAAGGGTTAGCCAGCGTGCATGACAGACAGGACCAGGTTTCTTATTAGCATGCTTCACAGAAATTGAACCTTTAGCTATTCCAATGCAATACTCATAAAGTTTACGCTGGTCTGTACTCAGATCGCAAACAATGGCGGGATTTACATAAAACTCGGAATCTATAGGAATAAACTGAACCAAAGGTTGTTCATGCATGAATATATTAGACGCTTGTATACCAATAGGACCTTTGTATTTTTTCGGATCATTAGTTTGTCCATCTATTTCAGATATAACATGACGAAGAGGTAACTCACCCTGGTGAAGCAAACATCCAACTAAATGAATGCTACGATTCAAAAGCTTTTCTAATTTTACAACTAAACCATTATTTACGCCAGTGTTAGAGCTTGTATTGTCAAGAACAATCGCTTCTAAACTTTTAACACTGTTGTATTCAGAAAGCACATTTAATGTTGCTAGAGCCATAGTACCACCTTTACCATTTTCTATTATCACATGTGTGAGATAATTTCCAGAGAATGGATAATTTTCACAAGTAAAAGTGAGATGATGTTCATCATTGGTGGTTCGATAAAAAAAAGGGTCCCCATTGCTCTTGTATTTCATGACATGAACTAATGAATTTTTGTCTTTCTTGCTATCAACACCAATTACCTTTATTTCTAAAACTTTTTGACGATGCGTAGTGTCAATTGATTTAGCCACTCGTGCTTTTACACAAAATACCTTATATTCTGTCACTATCTGAGATTTTTTACTCTTACTTACTATTCCGTAGTCAATTAATACAGCTGTTGCTATTGCAGCTGCTGCAGCATCGCTTACTTCGTATCTTATTGCAGCTTTGGCCAAATTAGTTAATTCGGTATAATTTCTTTCACTAAGTATTTGCTCCTCAGACTCTTCACTTTCAGTTGTATCTAAACTTGAAGATTCAGCACTAAAACTACCATTTCGACTTCTAATGTTTCTTGAAGATTTTTTTGTCTAATTTGCTTTTTAGTTGCCTCGTTTTCCTCTCTAATATACTTTTTGGCGTTCCTTGTTGCCTCCACATGGTCCACATTGCCTAACTGCCAACTTCCTTTTGGTCCTATCTTGCATCTTTGGTCCTTTAAATATTCTCTTTCCAGAACAGGGACCTAAAATAAGTCAAATATTCTAAAATTGAACGTATTTAAGTTTAAAGTAAATAGAAAGAATTAACGGTCAAATGATTAGTAATCAATAATAATTTTAACATAACTTCGTAAAAGAGCAGCGATTTTTTTAAAATGACTTTAGACTGTTTTATTTTCCCAAACCTTACATTATTATGAATTTTAACTGTAAATGCCTAATAATATCAACACAAAAATGGCATGAATTACCTTTCTACTTTCCTCACAGAGACAAACTATTTGTTTCATTGTGCAATTACTTTTCCGACATCCAATTCGTCTAAACGTATATTATTCTACTTTAAAATCAAAACAATATAGAAACTATTTATTGGATAGGCTTACATCCGTTAGTTTACGGTTGTATGCCTTACTTTAATACCTTAGTAGAAGGCAGAGGGATGGGGTTGTAAATTTTCATTTACTTTTACAAAATCTTTTTCACTTAACATTAAAAAAAAGTTGTAATAAAAAACGTTAAAAAATGTATGTTTACCTAATATGACAATCATCAATAATTGGAAGATCGCACCGGCAAGCAGACACATCAAACAATGTTTCCAGTTTCTTTTCTAGCCAGCTTATACTGAACTTATGGTTTTTAGATTGAGTTTGTTCTGCAGACAACACCTTTAGTAATGTTCTTGATATTTTATTTTTCAATGGTTTATCTTTTATCAGAGGTAGATTTGGATTAACCCTACACCAAAGCTATTGCAAGTCACTATTGACTTTAGTTACGATTGATACAGAGTCAAGTTTCTGTCCATTAAACAATTCTTTCTCAACCTTGTAACCGTATTGAATGACCTGTTTATAAGTTGGTAGATCGCTTACGGATAAATCAGAGGCTTTTCCAACAAATCTTCCACTATTAATACGAGTTTTGTTTAAAACTTTAACAGGTCGTTCAAGTTTTTTTGAGCTCATGCTAATATGACAATATTAATTTATTATATAACTAAAAAATAAAAAAAGAAACTATTTTTCGATTTAAGTTTCTAAATGAAATATGTTTTAAACTATTTGTTAAAAAACAATTAGTTTACGTTTTAGTTTGGTAAACAGATTTTATATCGAACGTAAATCTTCGTAGTTAGCTGTATATTTTATACATTTAAAAAAAACAACCGCATAAAAGTAGAGTTTTATTTACGGACCTTAAGTGACTTCATGTAGAATTTGAAAGTTTTTCTATTGCATTTCCCAAAAAGATTAAACATTTTTTGACTTTTTTTTTTGTGGCAAACGAATAATATATCCACAATACATAAACCTCACACTGAGCCAAGTGTTTTCATATACATGACAGTGGCTTAATATATATATATATATATATATATATATATATATATATATATATATATATATATATATATATATATATATATATATATATATATATATATATATATATATATATATATATATATATATATATATATATATATATATATATATATATATATATATATATATATATATATATATATATATATATATATATATATATATATATATATATATATATATATATATATATATATATATATATATATATATATATATATATATATATATATATATATATATATATATATATATATATATATATATATATATGTACAGTCCCTGGCCACAATATTATGATCACCTCAGTTTTTCAACATATAGTATATTATATTATTATCATTTATACAATACTGACATCTATTGAATAAAATACTGACATATATCAAATAAAATACTGTCATATACATTTTTTTTATATTTTAACAGTTTTTAAGTAAAAGTGTTTTATTATTTTAATACATTTTATAAAGCACAAATTAATATTTAGTGCCATTTTATTAACATTTTTAGTGTAATAGTTATAATTGAAATTTTCAATAAAAAATAAACATCGATAAGGGTAAGGAAATAAGTTTAACGAAATTTTCAGAAGTAAAAGCACTTTTACATAAAACCACTCCGATGTTGATTTGAAATAATTAATCAAAATGCATAATGTCTATAAGAAAAAATTGAAATAATTAATCATGTAAACCAAGAATGTTTGTTTACAAACATTATTGGTTTACATGATTAATACATATTTTCTTATAGACATAATATGTATTTTTTGGAAATATTATTATATGCAGATGCTATTTTAAGGATATAAATGTGTCGTTTCCTCTAAGAATGTACCTGATAAATAATATATTGAATCAACAGCAAGTGAATGGAAAATAAGTTTTGCCAAGCATAAGCAATCCATTAAAAATAACAGATATGTCAATAGAAAAATAACAGATATGTCAATAGTTTTAATGCAGTAGTATAAAATTTTGGTTAAAGAAACAGTAAAAAAAATTGTACCTTGAGACGCCGAACTAACTCATCATTGGACAAATCTTGAGTGACTTCTTTAAAGTTTTTCTTTCTTCTTTTTTTACTCAATGAATCATCCATTTTTATAATACTTTGTCTCTATATATAAATATAAATGTACATTAGACATTAGAGACTCAGATTATAGATATTTTCTTTTAAATTTTTTTTTTTTTAACAGCATTAAGGTGTCTTAACATTTTTTAATGCTTATAAACACAATTTTTTTTCTTGTAGAGAGCATCAAGTTAAACCTCAATAAAACAATATTTTACTGTGCTCTTCAATTTAAAATGAAGTATATTGGTCACCTAAATAATACAGTCTTTTCAAATCAAATGTCAATTAAACTCAATATTTTTCAAAAGATTAAACTAGAAACTGGTATAAAAAGTTTTATAGAAACCAATAACATTCTCCCTGATATCTAGACTTAGAAACTGTATCTAGACCAAGAGACAAATAACACGATTCCTGGTATTATCTTATAGTGTTGTGTTATGATACTAGTTTAAATTTTTAATTTAACTTTATTATTATAAAATTTGACACTATTTGTAAATAATCTTTATGTAAGAACTTTTCAGAATATTAATTATGTTATGTGATATTTAATGCTAGTAAAGAAAAGTTTACATTACAACGTTAACAGGTTAGATTATCAACTGACTATTTTACTACTTTTTTAAGTTTAAAATTTCAATTTATGATTTTTAAATTGAACTTTTTAACTTATATGGTTCAGTTGATAATCGCAATTCAGTTGATAATTGCAGTCAAACATAATTTTTATGGGCTTTGATGTTTGTTTGTTTTTTTAATTTTCTTAAAACTAATTATTTCAAAGAAATATTTGGTTTAAGGATCGGTTTTTGCCCTTGCTTAGGGCATAATAATGGTTTTTTACATTTGTTTAAAAATCTATTTAAGTCAGGTTTTTTTTAAACATTCTGTCAAATATATAGCATAATTATTTAATTATTTTCTAGGATCTTTTTAAATAATTTTAATGATTCAAAATTTTTTTAAAAACCGCTTCCTTAACTTGTACTAAAGTAGAGCACTTGCCATTTAATTTGATTGCTAAGCTTCCACGAGATATAAATAGCGCGAAGCGAATTTTTTTGTAAATAAGCATGCGTGTAGATATATCATTTTGAATTTGGTATTAATTTTAAACTATTTTATTTTAAATGAAATAGTTTCAGAAAGCAAAGTAGGATCGACAGTAAATGGTATATATATAGGCAAGGCCGGCGCGATAGGGGTGTGTGGGGGTGTGTGACACCCCCCCATTAATGATTTTTAGTCGGCAAATTTGACCCTTAGTCGGCAAATGTGACCCTTTTTGACTATTAGTCGGCAAATGTAGACCCTGTCGATAGGTTAGTCGGTATATTTAAACTGTCAGTCGACAAATGTCGTTATGGCAGTCGGTAAATTTTAAAAAACAAGAACCGTTTTTTTTTTTTAGTCGGCAAAAGTTGTAATGGCAAACCCCCACCCCTACGTGACACCTACTCGCGTCGGCCCTGTATGCGGGTATCATTGCATACGCAGATCATCTACTCTTGCTAAGTCCTACAATTTCCGGTCTTCAAGAACTGATTGACTGTTTTCAAACCTATGGAGTGGCTAATTTTATTAAATTAAACATTAAGAAAACGGAATTTCTAATTTCTGGAACAAGTTCTGTTTTAAACAACCTTATTCAAATTAACGGAACTTCAATATATCTTCAAAATAATTTAAAACATCTAGGTTTCCAATCGGATAATGATATCAATAAGAACAAAATTCCAACACTTCAAAAAAAAAACTTAAATAAGCGTATTACTCAGTTTCAATCGGTTGCAGTAGCTCTAATCGACAGTGGAATTCGTTTTTGATAGCCGTGAACAAGTGTTTTTCTATATAACTAATTATCAATTCTTACATATGGACTTGAGCTATGCAAACTTAGCAACCGTTCTCTTAGCAATATAGAAGCTGTTGGAAGAGCAGTTTTAAAATCTTTTTCTTTTTGTATCTCAAAATATAGTAAAAACTACTGTCATTCGTTTTTTAAAATAATCGATAATTCAACTATTCTACTTAGAAACAAAGTAAATCTATTTATCAGCAGCCGTATTCACATTTCTCCATTAAACCTGCGATAAGTAATCGGCTGGTTAAAAGTAAAACGGCAGTTTTTAAGGTTTTTATATATATGTATATATATATATCAGTGGCGGATTAAGACTTCTTGGGGCCCGGGGCTATATTGTTTTTGAAGGCCCAAAGCCTGAAAATGACTAAAAAAAAAAAAGGTCCTCTAAAAATTTTGGGGGCTGATATATATATATATATATATATATATATATATATATATATATATATATATATATATATATATATATATATATATATATATATATATATATATATATATATATATATATATATATATATATATATATATATATATATATATATATATATATATAGAGAGAGAGAGAGAGAGAGAGAGAGAGAGAGAGAGAGAGAGTGGTAACACACGAGCAGTGAATGCCTGAGGGAAGAAATGAAGTACATTAGAATAAAGGAGAATTATTTTTTGAATAAAGCATATTTTGACAGTTGTCAAGGCAAATAAAAAGATTAATAGAGGAATATTTAAAAATGAATAAGACAGACAATGCACCTAAACAGTACTTACAATAATAATAATAATTATTTAAAAAAATATTATTTTATAAACACTAATATGAAGGAAGATATACAATAAATATATCACCAAACAAAAACTTATAAAACAAAAAATTGATTACAAAATAAAAAATATGCATAAAACAATGTAAGGCCTCAGAATGGAAAAAAAACATTAACACTGATGTGTAAACATGAACTTGAACATCAGAGTTAAATCACCTCTTATTCTTCTTTCTTGAAGAGTCGTAAGACCTAACATGACTCTTCGCTGCTCGGCGATGCAATGCTTAATCTCAGAAATGGTTTTTGTAGCATGATTTTAAACTTTTTCTGACGCTTTTATGTCTGCCCGTTGGTACGGTGACCACGTTTGGATAGCTCTAGGTGTATACCACGTATGTTTGCATACCAGGTATGTTTTTACTCTAGGTGAGGACAAACATACGTATACATAAACATACGTATGAGGTGAGGACAAACATACTTATACACAAACATACGTATACGTATACGTATACAGTTCTTTCTACAGTGAAAAACTATGGGTGCGAAAAGTTTTTTTCAGCCTCCTTAAAGAGCGGTTAGCATTCATGTGTAAAAAATGTTTTTGGCAAAACCCTAAGGACTCTCCTTCCCTCCCTCTAATATATCGTAATCGCATCGGCTCTACTTTTAAAATGTACGCATGAATATCTGCAACAATGACGACTAAACAACAAATGAAAGACATTCCTAAAACAGAAATAGATAAGTCATGTTTTCCTAACTTGTCTATACTCTACAAAATTGAATTGACTCCTTCTTTTAAATCTGCTTATGACGAGAAAAGTTTTAGTAGACTAAAGATTATCAAAAACTATCTGTGATCAACAATGACAAAACGATGTCTTTTTCAATTGACATTATTTTAATTGAATGTAAGCTGGCTGAGAGGATTGACCTTGAAGGCAGGCACTTAAACTTTAGATTGTTTACTGTTTTAGACGTACTTAAGTGCGATTCTCGAAAAAAAATGTTTTAAAAGTTAATGCGCCACTCCTAACCCCTGTTTCCCCTGCTCATTTTTATGAACCCTTTCCTCTCCCCGACGACGCTAAACCTCAATCCACTCCTGCCTATATGTACTGATTAGAACTTTAAAGTTATTGATCAGGTCTGAAAAGCACATTTTGGTTTGGTCAACGACAGCAAAAAAGTATTTTAAATGTTTTTGTAAGTTATGGATCAAAATCTACCGAGCTTATTTTAGAAAAAAACATTTTTTGCGAAAATTTTGTTATTTATCAATACACTGTTTTCCAGGTTTTTTCCATATACTCCAAATGGTCCAACGTTCTTTTCATAATGGATTATGGAAAAGCATTTAACCAGGATGTTTACACCACTTTTTCACAGTGTTTAAAATTTACATAAAAAAGAATGTTCTAAATATCTTTTGAACAGAGCAAGATGTCTTGACTAGTGAAGGTCTTATTAAAGATGGATAAGTACTCTACTTAATTATGCCATGTGCAACTCCCATAAGGAGCCTGTGGACCGAATCAAATTCAACTATAGAAATTTTTATGTGAAAAAAATATTTTTTATAAAAAAATTAAATTTGTTTTCTAATGTTTATTTTTTCTTCAGATCTTCAAAACTGCCTTCTAAGTTGCAAAGGATGTCACCTATAAATCAGCTTCATCTATAAGTTTATACTTGATCACTGGTGATAATGATTGATTAGAAGAAGTGTATGGATTGTAAGACGAAAGAAGCATGTTTAAGAGATATTGGTGTCTTGTTTTAATGTCTTTTTGGTCTGAAAATCTTTAGAATCTTATATTAACTTAGACTTTATTTTAAAAGTAGAAGGTTTAAGGTACTTCTATACAATTAGACAACCTTTTTCTTAAAACATCTTAATTACAATATAGTTAACATAAATTACAAATATAGGTCGAATGAAGACCGAATGAAATAAATTTTTTTTTTTTAATTTTCAATCCTATTAAAAAGTTGGTTTTTGGTCTCAAAAAGGGGCTAAACTGTTTACACGATTGTTTATCATAGGGTGACTGTTAAACTTTGAATTTGCAAAGTTGTTTTATGCCACTTTCAAGTTCAAACTATCAAAACTTTCGAAAATAAAGTCATTTTCATAAGAATTGGTGATTTTCATAGGTTTACTCCCCTATACAAGATTTCATAAGTATTAGTAAAGATATTATGTAAACGGTATAATCAAAACAACAAAAAACACGTTCTGTGAAAAAAACAGTTTTAAAAATCATATAATATTTATTAACATAAAGCAAAACAGAACTAACTAAAGTGATCCAGAACTATTAGGTTCGTATTCTTTTATCTCTTTTTTATATAAAAACTCTTTTCTTAAATTTCTTTACTTTTCCCTGTGTTTTTAAAATATGACTATTTACAATGAATTTAAGCTCTATTA